CCAGCAGCAGCAGCAGCAGCAGCAGCAGCAGCAGCAGCAGCAGCAGCAGCAGCAGCAGCAGCAGCAGCAGCAGCAGCAGCAGCATGCTGACCTTTGCGGAGGTGGTGCACGGAAAGGTCGGGCTCGCAGCTGAGGCCCTTCAGCTTCTCGCCGGTCTTTTTGCTGAAGCCACCAAAGGCTCGAGAGACAGCCAAAACCCCATTGAGGTATCCCTGCAGCAGCAGCAGCAGCAGCAGCAGCAGCAGCAGCATGAAGGAGACGTGCTGCACACAGTACTGCACGCCGTGCTCAACACTAGGTATGAGCTTCTGGCTGCGCTGCAGCCAGATGCGCATGAGAGACAGGACCAGCAGCAGCAGCAGCAGCAGCAGCAACGAAGGCAACAGCAGCAGCAGCAATGCAGACAGGAAACGCTATAAAAAAAGAAGCAAAAGAGACACCACAAAATAAGCGCCAGCAGCAGCAGCAAAAACTGCTGACGTCGAAAGCAAGAGCAGCAAAAGCAGCACAATGAGAGCTGCAGCAGCAGCAGCAGCAGCAGCAGCAGCAGCAGCTCGTGTGCCATGGGGATGAGAGAAAGGAGTCGAAGAAGCTACACAGCAGCACAGAGGGATCGCGGCTTAGCAGCAGCGAGATGAGCAGCAGCAAGGAAGCAAACGGCGCAGCAGCAGCAGCAACCACTAAGACGGGAGAGCAGCAGCAGCAGCAAGCACGAAGACAGAAGAGCTGCAGCAGCAGCAGCAGCAGCAGCAAAAAGTCAAAAGCAAGCGCCGAGCGCAGGCGAGAGAGGCACAGCAGGCCCCAGCACATAACTAAAGGAATGCAGCAGCAGCACGAAACGCCCGCAGAGAAACTCTGCTGCTGCCGCTGCTGCTGCTGCTGCTGCTGCTGCTGCTGCTGCTGAATCACCTCATCGTCGTAGCTGCCTCCTGCTGCTTTGACTCGCTGCTGCTCCTTCCTGTTGCTGCGCAGGTGATGGTCATCAGTCAGCGGCACCGCCCGCCCAGCTCGCGATAAAACGCAGCGGCTGCAGGCACGCACATTCCTGCTGCTGCTGCTGCTGCTGCTGCTGCTGCTGCTGCTGCTGCTGCTACTGCTGCTGCTGATGTTCGTGCTGTAACTGCTGCTGCTGATGCCGCTGCTGATGCTGCTGCTGTGGGTAATTTGGTGCTGCAACCCGATGGGGTATACACTGCAAACGCAACTGCGTGCTGCCGCTGCTGAGGAATCAGCAGCAGCAGCAGCAGCAGCAGCAGCAGCAGCAGCAGCTCACCTGTCCCCCACATTCGCCACATAGAGAACATTATGCTGCAGCAAGGCCACGCATGCCGTGGTCCCCGAGGAAAAGGGGGACTGAAAAACAAATAGAAACAGCAGCAGCAGCAGCAGCAGCAACTCGACATCTACGACCCTCAGAAAGCGCATGCAGCAGCAGCTGCTGCTACAACCCCACAGCCACAGCAGCAACCACTGCAACGCCACAAAGCCTTGCAGCAGCAGCTTCGGAAACTGCGTCCGCCAGAAGCGTCAATACTTAGTGGCCTCCAGCGGCTGCAGCAAGCAGCAGCAGCAGCAGCAGCAGCAGCAGCAGCAGCAGCAACTGCCGTAGCAGCAGCAGCACTCACAGTCTCTGTGTCAGTGAACCCGTCCCCACTTATTTGGTCTAAGACCATCCGGTGCAGCGCCTTCTCCGTTTCGGCAAAGCCCCACTTCAACGCCCCACAGATGTCTGCATGCAAGCAACAAGTCGAAACTTTGCTGCTGCTGCTGCTGCTGCTGCTGCTGCTGCTGCTGATGCTGCTGCCGCTGCAGCCAGGGCAACCAACAGCAGCAACGCCTCCAGCTGCAGCAACAATCGCCACCACTCAAGCATGATCAGACACAAAAAGGCAGTCCCCAGCAAACAGCAGCAGCAGCAAATGCCGCAGCAACAGCTATACCGGCGGCAGCCCCCAAACAGCAGCAGCAGCAGCAGCAGCAGCAGCAGCAGCAGCAGCAGACCATTCGTGAGGTAGTGCGGCTCTCTGCAGATGTTCAGCGGCAAATTCTTCTGTACAAAATCCACCGCAGCCTCTCCGTTGTGCCCGTCATAGACAGCAAAAAACATAGACTGCAACAAGAGCAGCAGCAGCAGCAGCAGCAGCAGCAGCAGCAGCAGCAGCTCTTACAGCACATGAGCACGCCTGAGGCTTCACCTCAGATTGCTGCAAGTTGTAAAGCTGGCAATTTCACTTCGGGGTTTGCGGCGCTAGGGTTTAGTGTTTGGGCCGCTAGGGTTTAGGGTTTAGGGTTTAGGGTCTAAGGCTTTCAGCGCTAGGGTTTAGGGTTTCAAGGCTGGGGTTTGGGGCTTGCAGCGCTAGGGTTTAGGGCTTAGGGCTTCCAGCGCTAGGGTCTAGGGTTTAGGGTTTCAGCGCTAGGGTTTAGGGCCTCCAGCGCTGCGGTTCAGGGTTTCCAGCGCCAGTACTTAGGGATATCAGTGCTGGAGCTTAGGGTTTAGGGTTTAGGGTTTAGGGTTTAGGGTTTAGGGTTTGGGGCCCACCGGCTGGCCCGCCTGCAGCCCCAAAGCAGCTCCCAAATCGGCGCTGCCGAAAACCCTGTCTTCGTTGTAAGTGCGGTGGCCCGAAGCAGAGTGGTGCCCAAATGTCACCTTGCCTGCAGCAGCAGCAGCAGCAGCAGCAGCAGCAGCAGCAGCAGCAGCAGCAGCAGCGGGAGCAGCAGCGGCGGCAGCAGCAGCAGGAGCAGCAGCGGTAGCGGAAGTGAGTGAAGCGGAAACGGGGTCGGGGAAGGCGGAGACTACGGGTAAAGGCTCCAGCAGCAGCAGCAGCAGCAGCAGCAGCAGCAGCAGCAGCAAGAGTACCAGGTCGATGGCAGCAGCAGCAACGCCGTCAACGCTCGCCAGCAAAAGCAACAGCAGCAAAGAAAGCACCGCCAGCAGCAGCAGCAGCAGCAGCAGCTAGTGAACCGCTGCAGCAGAACGGCAAAGCCGTTGTCGGCAGCAGCAGCAGTAGCATCACGAGCACCAGCTCACGGATGAACCTGCACTACCGACAGCAGCAGCAGCAGCAGCAGCAGCAGCAGCAGCAGCAGCAGCAGCAGCAGCAGCAGCAGCAGCAGCAGCGGCCTGAAATCAAAAGCTGCCTGCTCAGCAGATATGATCCGGGAAGCCATGCGATAGAAGAAGGTATGCCTTCTGTCCCCTCTGCCGCCGTGGCCGCTGCGTCTCCTGCTGCTGCTGCTGCTGCTGCTGCTGCAGCTGAGTCTGCTGCTGCTGCCGCCACCAGCAGCACTAGCAGCAGCACCCCTTGACAGCTCCGCAAAACGCAGCCCGTGGCGGCTCTCCCTCAAGCTGCTGCTGCAGTCTGGGCAGGGCCTGCTGCTGCTGCTGCTGCTGCTGCTGCTGCTGCTGTTTGGAGGCCCTTGCGGCGCAAGCAGCGGGCTGATGCTGCTGCACCTGCTGCTGCTGGGGGCGGACGGCTGCAGCAAACGCGCGTGGCCTGACCTGCCCGCCTGCAGCCCTGCAGCAGCTGCTGCTGCTGCTGCTGCTCCTGCAGCAACAGCAAGTTCTTCAAAAGGATCTCCTGCATCTTCTTCTGCAAGAATTTCTTGTCTCCGAACAAGACAAAGGGATATCTGCAGCAGCTCAGGAAGGCCTTGTTCCGCAGCAGCAGCAGCAGCAGCAGCAACGGCGCCCTCTGCTGCTCCCACTGATGCCGGTGCTGCTGCTGCTGCTGCTGCTGCTGCTGCTGCTCTATTTTGGGCGTAGCCGCCCCCGCCCAGCTCCAGCAGCGCCACGTCGCATTCGCGCGCTGCTGCTGCTGCTGCTTTTGCTGGGCCACTGCTGCTGTCGCAGCAGCTGCTGCTGCTGCTGCTGCTGCTGCTGTGGTGCTCGCCGGAGCAGCAGAAGCCCCTGCTGCTGCCCCAACATGCTGCTAAACGTGCAGATACACCCCGAGGCCATTCTGTGGGGACTCCAAAAGCAACAAGACGATTTGCTGCTGTTTCTAAAACGGCTGGAAGCTGCAGCAGCAACCCAGCAGCAGCAGCAGCAGCACAGCAAGGCTCAGCAGCAGCAGCAGCAGCAGCGGCAGTCGCATGCACGTTCACATCCCTCAGCCGCAGCAGCAACAGCGGCAGCTGCTGCTGCTTGCGCTGCTGCTGCTGCTGCTGCTGAGCAGCTGCAGATCAGCAGCAAGAAGGCACGAACAAGTCTGCTCGGCAACAGCAGCAGCAGCAGCAGCAGCGGAAACTGCAGCAGCTGCTGCAAATGCTGCTGCTGCAGCAGCAACCCCACAAATGGTCGCAACTGAATTCAGAATTCAAAGCGCAGCAGCGGAGGGCTCTGGGCTTCTAGCAGCGGCCGCCGCTGCAGCAGCAGCAACAGCAGCAGCAGCACCGACGTGTTGCACTTCGACGCCGCGGCAGCCAGCGTTGCTGCACTTCACCCTGCTGCTGCTGGAGGCCAGAGAGCAGCAGCAACAGCTGGCGGCTCCCGGCGCAGCAGCAGAAAGCAAGGTGCGCAGCAGCAGCAAACACAGCAGCAGCAGCAGCAGCAGCAGCAGCAGCAGCAGCAGCTGGGACTCACCAAAGTCGGCATAAAGCACCACCAGCGGTCCTGTGGGGAGATCTGCTGCAGCAGCTCCTGCAGCACTCTGCAGCAGCGAGCTGTGCGTCTCACGTGTCTCATGATGCAGCTGCTGCAGCCCTGGCCTGCTGCTACTGCAGCATCGCAGCAGCAGGGTTCCTCCTCAGCAGCTGCTTCTGCTGCAGTTGCTGCAGCAGCAGCAGCTGCTGCTGCTGCTGCAGACGCCCCCGCAGGGTCCACATGCTGCCCGTCCGCGCTCGAAAGCTCCCGTTGCTGCTGCTGCTGCTGCTGCTGCGGGGGAAGCTGCAGTGCAGGAACTGTGTTTGCTGCAAGCGCACCTGTTGCAGCAGCAGCTGCTGCTGCTGCTGCTGCAGTAGTCGGAGCCAGGGGGTCTGAAGCCGTTATGATGATCGGCACCCTGCAGGCAGCCGCGGGAGCAGCAGCAGCAGAACCCGGTGCTCCACTTGCTGCTGCTGCTGCTGCTGGCTCGCTGCTGACAAATAGTTCTGTCATATGGAAGCGAAGAGAGGGTTGAGAAGCACCCCCTGAGCTCGTGCTGCTGCCGCTGCTGCTGCTTTGCTGCTGCTGCTGCTGCTGTGCTGCGGCTGCAACTCGCCTAATGCTGTGGCTCTTTACCGCCCAGCCCTTGACAATACAATGGCAGCAGCAGCTGCTGCTGCTGCTGCTCGTTGTGCTGCTGCTGCACCGCCAATGAGGCCTAGACAACGCCTGCTGCTCTTGCCTGCTGCTGAAGATTCAGCTTTTGCTGGCGCTGCCTTTGCTGCTGCTGCTGCTGCTATTGACTACCGTTGTGAAAATGTCCCTACAAGCCCCAAGATCGCTGCTGTGAGGCTGCTGCTGCTGAAGTAAACGCTGCTGCTGCTGCTGGAGCTGCTGCAGACGCTGCTGCGGCTTTGCTGCTGCCGCTGCTGCTGCTGGCGCAAGACGTGTCTCTGCTACCGGAGGAAATAAATGGGCTTGTGTCTCTGAATTTTCCTCAGAAGAGAGGCCGCACCAGCTGCAGCAGCAGCAACGACCCGAGAAGCTGTTGCATCTGCTGCAGCAGCAGCGGCCGCAGCAGCCGAGACCAATCACCCCTACAAAGGAAACTCTCTCTCTAATGCTTTCGCCTTTGGCCTAAACCCTAAGCCGTTAATTCTTAATCTTAAATAAGGGTTTAAGGAGAGAGAAGGTGCTGCAGCAGAGGGCACAGCGCCTGCATGGCGAGCGACACAGGGCTTGGCTCCTGCTGCTGCTGCTGCTGCTGCTGCTGCAGCTGCAGTTGCTGCTGCTGTTGCTCTTCAAGTCTACACCCAAAGAGGTTTTTCGCGCGCAGTGTCTAACAGTCCCTCTCAAAGCAGCACAGTTCCAAGCAGCAACAGCAGCAGCAACGGCAGCAGCAGCAGCTCCACAGCCCGCAGCAAGCTGCAGCAACACAACCCGTTCTGCTGCTGCACACCTTTTCTTTCTTTCTTAACAGTCTTCTTTGCTGCAGCAGGCCTTCAGAGGCCTCAGAAGTCTTCTAGGGCCTTTTGGGGGCCCCCGCAGCTTCTGCAGCACACACAAACTGCTGCTGCCTGTGGGGGCCCCCCGCTGCTGCATGCAGCAAAAGTATCAGGGCCAGTTTGCTGCAACTTGTGCAGCAGTTGGCAGCAAAACAGGCCCGTGTGCAGCAGCGGAAGCAGCTGCAGCAGCAGCAGCTGCTGCAGCTGCTGCAGCGGGGAGCAGCATCCGCTGCTGCTGGTGCAGCTGGTACCAGCAGCAGCAGCTGCTGCTGCTCCCAGCTTGGGCGCTGCTTGACCGGGTCTTGCGCTGCCGGTGCCACGGGGCCTTTGACTGCAGCAGCAGCAGCAGCAGCAGCAGCAGCAGCAGCAGCAGCAGCAGAGCTCTGTGGCTGCGAGTTTAGGCACTTTTAGTTGGAGAGAAAATACAAAATAGGCAAATTGCTGCGGAGTTGAATCTTAGAGATAAATTTGCTTCCGAAAAGTTCATTTAATTTCCCAAATTGTCAAAAAGTTTTAAAATTGATTTAATTAAAATTAAAATTTGTTTTTCTTTCATTTCGAAGCAGCAGCTGCAGCAGACGCTATGCCTCTCAGCAGCAAACTGGCGTGCTGCTTCGTTTTGCTGCAGTTTTAAAATTACTTCATAAAATTAATTCTAAAATTGACAAAAAACATTTTTAAATAATTAAAAAACTCAATTTAAATCAATTGAGGATTCGGGGCCCCTCAGAGCTTTTTATTTTTCTGAGATGGGGCCTCGGTGGCCTCTCTGAGCCTTTCATCGCTCTGCTGCTGCTGCTGCTGCTGCAGCAGCAGCAGCAGCAGCAGCAGCAGCAGCAGCTGCAGCAGCAGCAAAGCGGGCGGGGGGAGAGTGGCCCTCTAAAGTGGCAGCATAACCAGCAGCAAGACTCTTGGCTGCTGCTGCTGAAGATAGTCCTGCCAGAGCTGCTGCTGCTGCTGCTGCTGCTGCTGTTGCTGCTGCTGCTGCAGTCTTGGCTGCCGGGTGCAGCAAGCAGCAGCAAAACTCATGTTGCACTTGAGCAGCAGCTGCTGCAGCGCCGAAGAGCAGCAAAATGGCGAAAGGCCTCCAGGGGGAATGTTCTATTTGCTGCTGCTGAATAATCTTCAGCAGCAAAAAATTAATTTAATTAATTTAATTTTAATTTAATTTCTTTTCAAGGAATTCTTTATTCCAACTCTTTTTGGATTCCTTCCTTAAGTTCCTCTTTCGGTCTTTAAACATTTCTTTCTGCACTTCTTTCAATTCAATTTTGAATTTAATTTTAAATTTAACTTTAAACTTAATTTTAAATTTAATTTTAAATTTAATTTTAAACTTAATTTTAAATTCAAAAAGACTTTTCGGATTTGCTGCTGCATGCGTTTTTGCAGAAATTCAAAATCGGGTTTTTGGTGAACTGCGAAACTTGCAAATCCATTTTTCAAAAATGTTTCAAATTTTAATCTTTTTTCACAAAATTAGTTTTAAAATTAATTCAATTTAATAAATATTTCAAAATTTAATCCATTTTGCAAAAATAATTCAAAAGATTAACCATTTTCAGAAATATTCCAGAAGTTGCAAAAACTTGAAACTCCTGGGATTCGTTTTTCTTCTTTTTCTAAAAGTAAATAAATGAAATCTTTTTAAAAGTTGAAATTTTGTTTTTTAAATGCAAAACTCCCTTTTATTAATTCAAGTTTCAAAAAGGGTTTCCAAAAATGCTTTTGTTGATGTAGAATTCATTTATAGAGAAGCGTTCGCGCATTCGCGCTGCAGCAGCAGCAGCAGCAGCAGCTGCTGCTGCTGCTGTAGCAGCAGCAGCTGCAGCAGGAAGCAAAAGTGCTGCTGCTGCGCCAATTTTGCGGAGTCTTTAAAACCCGCTGGCCCCACAGGCTTTGCTGAGTCCACTTGTCATTTAAAGCTTCTAAAATGAATTATTTGTTTCCTTTTGAGGCCATTCTTTTAAAACTTTTAAAATGAATTATTTATTTCGAGGCAGCAAAAGACGAGCAGCAAAATGCGAACAAAGACAGCAGCCAACGAGGCAGCAAAGTGGGGGGAAAGTTTGCGACAGCAGCAGCAACTCAGCAGCAGCAACTCAGCAGCAGCAACTCAGCAGCAGCAACTCAGCAGCAGCAGGGCCCGTGGACTCAATTTAAACGCTCAAAAGCCTTTTAAAGTACTTTATAAAGTTATTATTTATCAATAAATAATAAAAGATGGCAAAAAAATGGCAAAAGTTGGCAACAAATGCCACAAATGGCGAAGTTCGGGGAGAGGCTTTCCCAGACGCCCCCTGTGGGAACTTTGAAGGGAATCTGGTGTGAAAATAAAACTCCGAAATTGGCAAAGAGCCTTGTGATGGCTTTTGCCTCTTTTTGGGAAATTGTGGCTTTAAAAAGCACTTTTGGGGCTGTTTTGCTGCTGCTGGGGAGGCCCGGGGGCCCCTCTGGGCCCCAAAACTCGAAAAAGGGTTTTAATGGCACAAAGTTGAAGATAAGTTTCCTTAAAAATGAAACAGAAGACACAGACGCAGCAAAAGACTTGCTGCGCAAAAGACACAGCAGCAGCGAGCTGCAGCGACGCCCGCAGCAAACTGCTGCTCTCGCTGGCGAGGCAGTTTGAAGGCCACAGACAAGAATTTTAAGCTGCTGAGCCTTTTAACAAATGCAAATAATAAAACAATTTAGATTTGTTTAACTGCAGCAAGAGCCCTGCGGCCGCGGCCGCTGCTGCTGCTGCGCAGCAGGGAAGGGGCTGCTGCCCGCCTAGGCTGCAGCTGTGGCTGCAGCAGAAGCAGCGACTGCCGTCTTCCGCCTCCAATCCGTGATGGCTTTAGAGAAATAGTCGAATTTAATTCTAAATAAGTCATTTAATTTGTTAAAATGAACTGAAGGCTGCAGCAGCAACTGCAACGGCGGCAACGCAGGCGATCCACGGCAGCAGCAACTGCTGAGCCGCTGCTGCTGCTGCTGCTGCTGCTGTGGACCGCTGGCTCAGGCCACAGGTTCATCCATTAGGGGCTAGCTCGCGGGGCCAAATTCAAGAGTTATTAGGAGGCAACAGTTGCTATTTGCTGCAGCAGTTGGACTGTTCCTCGGCTTGGGCAGCGTCGGTTTGCTGCTGCTCTTCCCTTCCCGCACTGACGCCTGGCGCTGCTGCTGCTGCTGCTGCTGCTGCTGCGGCTGCTGCTCGCGCTGCTCCCGGCGCTGCTGCTTATGTCTGTAAGCTGCTGCTTTATCTGGCCGTGTTCGCTGCTCCCAGTGCAGCAAGTGTACACAGTGTGCGGCCGTAACACCCGTATGCCGTTGCTGCTGCTGCAGTGGCGGCAGCAGCAGCAGCAGCAGCAGCAGCAGCACCTGTGAGAACAGCGAGGTCTTCCTTTGTCGGATCTTCCAAACGGCCAATAATAGCCTTCCCCTTCAGTCAGCCTACGCAGGCCTTACCAGTGTCAGCAGCAGCAGCAACAGCAGCAGCGGCGGCGGTGCCCGCAGCAGCAGCAGCAGCAGCAGCAGCAGCAGCAGCGTTGGAGGCGCTTCTGCAGTCAGGTGACCTTCGCACACTCTGATATATTTCGCAGGGACTTGTGGGGGAAGCTCGAAGTAACTGCAGCGAGGGAGCAGCAGCTCCTGCCGTTTTGAATTTGCTGCACCGCTGCAGCAGCAGCAGCAGCAGCGCAGCAGCAGCAACAGCAGCAGCACCACCAGCAGCAGCAGGACTCCTAGCTTCCTAGGCAAGGTAGCAGCTGCACGGAGGGCAGCATGCCCCACACCAGCAGAAGCAGCGCGAACAGCGGCAGCAGGAGCAGCAGAAGCACGGGCAGCTGCAGCAGCAGCGGCTGCTGCAGCAGCAGCTCATCTTCTTGAGGAGTTTCGCAGCAACAGTGTCGGCACTTGCAGACAGGGTAGCCCCTGGTCTGTTGCTGCAGGCCTCCGCAGAAGCAGCTGCAGCAGGTGCTGCCGCAGCAGCAGCAGCAGCAGCAGCAGCAGCAGCAGTAGCCCAGCCCCACCAGCAGCAGGCGGCCATGTCCTTCGTGCTGCTTCCTGAGGCTCTCCGTAGGAACTGTTGCTTCTCCTGGGCTTTCTCGCAGCAGTTGAAGCAGCAGAAGAAGCACAGGGGGACTGTTTTGCAGCAGCGCCGGCTCAGCAGCAGCAGCAGCAGCAGCAGCAGCAGCAGCAGCAGCAGCAGCAGCAGCAGCAGCAGCAGCGAGACAGAGGCAGCGGCGGCGCCGTGACTCTGTAGCCTTTCTTAGAAAACATTTTGGCCTTTAAATTATTTAAGTGAAGGCGGGGGGACAGGTGGGCAGAGCGAGGCTTGCCGCGCTGCGGCTGCAGGCAGCAGCAGCAAGTGCAGCAGCAGCAGCAGCAGCAGCAGCAGCAGCAGCAGCAAGGGCAGTAGCAGCAGCAACAGCAGCAGCAGCAACTGCTGCTGCTGCTGCACCTGTTGGACCGCCGGCAGCTGCAGCAGCTCTTGCTTCGCCGACGCTTGAGGTGCCGCCAAGGATGGTCCCATTAATGCTGCAGGCGCAGCAGCAGCAGCAAAAGGAGCAGCAGCAGCAGCAAATCCAGCACCTGCATACTCAGGAGAAAAGGGAACATCAGGGGCAGCAGCAAGACTACCACCAGCAGCAGCAGGAATACCAGCAGGAGCTGCGCGAGCAGCAGCAACAGCAGCAACAGCTGCAACAGCAGCGACAGCAGCAGCAGCAGCAGCAACAACAGCAGCACCAGCAGCAGCAGCACAGGGCAGAGATGTCGCCGCGAACCTCTCAAGCTTTGGCTGAACCTTCTGAGAGCAAGGTAGTCCTAGAAGGACCCACACCGCCTCAGGAGCAGCAGCAGCAGCAGCTGCTGCAGCAGCAGCAGCAGCAGCCGGAGCAGCAAAAGCCAGAGCAGCAGCAACAGCAGCATGAGCAAGATGACGAACAGCACGAGTGCCCTCAAAAATGGCTGCAGCGGCCTCAAGAGCAGCAGCAGCAGCAGCAGCAGCTGCAGCTGCAGCTGTACAAAGAGCAGCAAGATCCGAAGGACGCTTGCATGCAGCAGCTGCAGGTGTTTAAGGAGCAGCCGGATCAGCCCGAAGTGCAGCAGCAGCAGCAGCAGCAGCAAGGGGAGGAGCAGCAGCAAGGAGAGAAGCAGCAGGCGTGCGTGGGGGAAGGCACACATAGTGGCAGCGCCATTGCTGAGGTTACGTCAGAGCTTGCTGCTGCCCCTGCTGCTGCTGCCTGTGCTGCTGCAGCCTCTGCTGCTGCAGCCTCTGCTGCTGCAGCCTCTGCTGCTGCTGCCGCTGCTGCAGCCCCGCCCACTGTCGTTCCGATTGGCTCAGCTCCGTCGTCAGATGCTGCTGCTGCTCCTGCAGCTGCGACCCCAGCAGCAGCAGCAGCAGATGCAGCAGCAGCAGCCTCTGCTGCTCTGACAGCCCATGATGCTGCTGCGGTTGCAGAGCAGCAGCAGCACCAGCAAAGCGGCGTTGATCTGTGCGTAGCTCAGGAACCAGTGCAGCATCAGCAGCAACAGCAGCAGCAGCCGCAAGAGCAGCAAAAGCAGCAGCAGCAAGAGCAGCAAGAGCAGCCCCCGTGCGACAAACTGCAGTTGCTGCAAACTGAGCAGCAGAATGAGCAGCAGGGGCTCCAGGGTCAGCAGCAGCAGCAGCAGCAGCAGCAGCAGAAGCAGAAAGGGGAAGCCACAGGGTGCGACGTTACGGGCAGCAGTGGCCAAGAACCCGCCGCCGCCGCCGCCGTCGCAGCAGCAGCAGCAGCAGCAGCAGCTCCTGCTGCAGCAGCTATTACGGCTGCGGCCGTTGCTGCTGATTGCTCAGAGCTTGATACAAACAGGCAAACAAGCAGCAGCAAAGAGTGCACCCTGTCAGCTGTTCGTGTGCCTGACGCTCCATGCGCAGCAGCAGCAGCAGCAGCAACGGCGGCAGCAGCAACTGCAACAGCAACAGCAGCAGCAGCAACAGCAGGCCGCCGCCACTCCCCCGGGATTGGCCAGGGCCGTCGGTTTTTCTCTGCCTTGGGGCTGGTGCGGGGGCAGCAGCAAGTGTCATTTCCTGCTGCTGCCAGCAGCAGCAGCGCAGCAGTTGCTGCTCAGTCGGCCCCCTCAGAAGGCCGCTGCTCCTCTGTGGCGGAGGCTGAGCGCAGCAGCAGCAGCAGCAGCAGCAGCAGCAGCAGGATGTACATGCGGGGGGGCTCCACTCTTTTTCCCCGCGTGCGCTCGCTGCGGCAGCTGCAGCACGACGTTGGTGCTGCTCTCTGCAGCTGGAGACACAACATTTACAACTGGGCAGCAGCAGCAGCAGCAAACTCTTGGGTGGGGCCGCAGGAGGGGGGGCTGCTGCAGCAGGGGGAGACTGCAGTGGTGCTGGGGAAGGTGTTTTGGGCCCTTGACGAGCAGCAGCAGCAAATAGTGCGGCGGCACAGGCAGCACCACGCGCAGCAGCAGCTGCTGCAGCAGCAGCAGCAGCAGCAGGCGCGGCAGCACAACCGGGGCGCGAAGAAGCGGGCGATGGATTTGGCTGCGCTGTCCGCGGCAGCCACTCCGCAGCCGCCGTCTCCAGCAGCAGCAGCGAGTGCAGCAGCAACAAGTGCAGCAGCAGCAGCAGCAGCAGGAGTTGGGACGGACAGCCCGCTGAGCAGCAGCATGCAGTCGGAGGCGATTGAGGCGGAGTGGCGTGCTGCAGCAGCAGCAGCGGGCGTGGGCGGGCTGCGTCTGCGGAACAGCAGCAGCAGCGGGTGGCGCAGCCGCAGCCGCAGCAGCAGCAGCAGCAGCAGCAGCAGCGCGTTGGCGCCGGTCCGCGAGAGCAAGGCGCAGCAGCAGCAGCAGCAGCAGCAGCAGCAGGTGCTGCACCCCCTCTCCGTCGTCTGCGCGTCTGTACACCCCGAAAGGGTGCAGCAAGAGCTCCTCAACTTCGTTTCTTGCATTGCCAGATTTACTTACAGAACAGGATTTTCTCCTCTTTACCGCTGCTGCAGCGAGCGCCGCCGGCCTGCTGTTTCTGCGGAGGAAGCAGCAGCAGCAGCAGCAGCAGCAGCAGCAGACCCCTGCTGCGCGGCCGCCGGCGCCCCCGCCCCCGCCAGCAGCAGCCCCAGCAGCAGCAGCAGCAGCAGCAGCAGCAGCAGCAGCAGCAGGGGCTGCAGCAGACCCATGGTGCTCGAGCGCAGCTGGATTGCCATCACCAGCGACGTGGGCTGGGGCTGCACCATCCGAGCAGCACAAATGCTGCTGCTGCAGGCGCTGCGGCGGCACTTCTTCGAAGCAGGGCCTTTGGCGCAGCCAGCAGCAGGCAGCTGCCCGGAGCCGGGCCTCTGGGAAGGCGTGGACAAGCAGCAGCAGCAGCAGCAGCAGCAGCAGCAGCAGCAGCAGCAGCAGCAGCAGCAGCAGCAGCAGCAGCAGCAGCAGCAGCAG